TATTCTATAATCTTTTTCTATTTTTTTTTTTTTTTTACATTGCTGTCTGTAAGATATTAATAAGTGTAACAAAGGAAGTATACAAAAAAAAATTTTAGACTATTTTGAATACTGAATGAAAAAATTTTAGACTATTTTTTTGGCCCGAATTATCATGTTTAAAAAGAATCCCCAATATATATTACTGCATGTATAATCACTAAAAATAAACATTAAATGCATAATTTTTATTTAGTTAAGAACATGTTGTCACAATCTTAATTATACGGAAAATTTATGAATTACGTTGAATTTATTATTACGAGAAATTTATTATTATGAAAAATTTATTATTATTATGAAAAATTTATTATTGGTAAATAATTTTTTTCATTACAGATTAGAAACTCTTCGATACTATTCTGATATTTTGTAATTTAAACTGATATCATTTAATAAGTGGATGTAAAAGTTTCCCGTTAATCTGTTGCGTTAGGATAAAATATTCATTATTTACTAAATTTCAGTTGGCGTATATTTTTTGTAAAGATTTCTTCACAAGGTCTATGCAAATAATAGCTAAAGAAAAAGGGATCTCAACTCTGCTATAAATATATATAAAATTAAGTAGACAAAAAAAAAAAAANAAAAAAAAAAAAAAAAAAAAAAAAAAAAAAAAAAAAAAAAAAAAAAAAAAAAAAAGCATTTGAGCTGATTCAAATCATTCTTGAAAAGTACTGAATTATTTTTTTAATTAACAATTCCAGTAATTTTTATGATAATTTAAAGTTTTGTTGACATTTGTTTTAACTTTATAAAACTGTTACATATATCGATACTTATCAGGGCTTAATCCAGGTCGATTTTGGTACCGTTTTTCGGTACCTTCACAAAATAAAAAAAAAATCAGTATTTCAACAAACTTTGAAAAAAAAAAAAAAAACGCATCTTCACGAAAATAAAAAGTTCGAAGGAATTAAAGTGCTGAATAGTTTTCCGAGCGGTTATTATTTGCGGTTATTATAATTTTATCTATGTATTCTGTATTTCTATTATTTTTTCAACCATTACTTCAGAAGTAAAAGTAAGCACAATATCAAAATAATAATTTCTTAATCATAATAAGTTCAATAAATTTTATTTGTAAGAAAGTTAAAAAAATTCTTAAACTTTATATAAATCTAATTTTTAACCTTAATATTAATCTGTATAGTAACTTCCATAATTTCTAAGCTGGCTTGTTGCATAATTTACATTGAATTAATAAATGGAATTAATCTGCAAGCTGCCTTATAAGCAATTCCTTGCGCAATATGTGAATGTTTTTTATAGTGTTGTACTTTTTGTATACATATATATATATATATTTTTTTTTTTTTTAGCAATACTAAATTTTCACACAAAAAAATTTTTTTTACAAAAATAATTTTTTTTCTTCACAAAAATAGGTACTAGGATTGAAAACCTGGATTAAGCCCTGCTTATGATTATGCAATGAAGTATTATCGTTAAAAATTTGTCAATATAAGTAATTTCCCTTGCTATAAGATCCCAAGAAGGGAAAGTTAGTAATAGAAAATTTTTTTAATTTTCTAAAAAATAGTTAAACTTTAAGTTACACTTACACATCTATACTAAGATAGTTTGAATGATTAACTACTCTCAGCATTTTTGTGTTTTATTATAAAATTAAATGTAATATAAATATTTCAATCCTGACTGAATTATAATAAAGTTGTTTCAATTTTAATTTTAAAATTTCAAAAATTTTTAAGTCTGATTTCATAATTGTAAAATAAAAGCCAAAAAAGGTAAATAAAACTATGCATGAATAATCAAATTTACTAAATAAATCTATTTGTTGTACAGTTTATATGTTACATATATGCGGAAAGATTGATTTAATACAAATATTTTCTTACCTCCAATATTTTTGATTCAAGCTCTTTTTATAGACAATAAAATATCCCATTTTATTTACAGGAAAAGAATTACACAATACAAATTAAAAATTAACGGACGAGATTAACAAATAAAAATTAATCAGAAAGAAAAGAAAAGAAATTTTAAATAAAATGCTACATTAAACAAAGGGAAAAATTTAAAAAAGAGCTTTTAGGATGTGTCTAAGACAAAGTTCCCAGACAGAATGACGGAAAGGAAGTTTTACGTCCTGTAAAGGTTAACATATATATGCAGTCCTAGAAATCCAAGAGAATTCTTAGTGTGAAGCATGCATTTTATGACCGTAAATAGGATCTGTGTATAACCGATATTTTAAAAAGTAGATGAGATAAGATAGAACCCATTGGAAGAACATTTTCCCTTAGAGTAATATGAGCTGGGCTGGCTACTTTTCTGAGGGGAGAAACTTTGTGGGTGGTAAATCAATGAGGAAAGGGATGCTATCTAATTTAATCACTGAAGAGAAGCGTTTGTTGCTTTCTTGATGAATGGGTAGAAAAGAGGCAGCAGTGACTATTTTATTTATGTTACAGACTGATAAAAGTCTCAAAATAAAATGTCATGAGAATTTTCTATATTTTTTTTTTAGTAAATAAAATAACTACAAATTTTCTAAAATTAAGGAAAAATTATCTATAGTACAAAAAAAAAAAACTGCTTTGTACAATGGGGGGTGTTTGAACACCCCCCTTACCTACGTCCCTGATTATTAAGTATTTTAATATTGGGATATGTTTAAAATAGTTTTCTCATCAAAATAACCCTACCAAAGGTTAGGAGGCAATTATGAGATAATGTTTTCTAATAAACACTATGTTGTACAGAACATGGTATAGTATGCAAGCTACATAATAAAATAGCATCGTATAAGCTAACATGAGACATAGTCTCAGTTTTTTTGATGGACAAAACAAAAATAAGCAATCCAGCATTTTTTTTTTGCTCCGAGAAATGTTAAATTTTGTCTCATATTTTTCTACTAATTACAAATTAACAGACAAAAATTTATTATATGATTCAGTGATTAAAGGTTTCTGAAAAGGAAATACAGTATAATTTGTCTCCCACTAAAATCATCATATATGATATATGAGCATCAACTTTCATCAACTCAAGTATATGTTTCATCATTTCAAGTATCAACTTTCTCAAATTTGAAGCTTCTTCTTTCCTGCCCTTAATTAAAAAGAAAATACATAATCGGTTAAGAAAGTGCACACAGATCCAAATTGAATACACTAATACACATTAAACTTTTATAAATATTGATCTATCAATTTTATTATCATAAAAACAAATCCCTCAAAATATGTTTAAGAACAATCTAAAACGACATTAAAAAATTACACTGAATTTTCATAAGAAAAAAATAAAACATCAGCAATAAAGATAAAAGCATGGCTATAGCAAACAGTTTAATAGAAACTCTGCTAAAAAACTATGCTGTTAAAAAATTACATTTATAAATTGCACAAAATTACATTGTTTCTGTTACACAAATACAGATACTTTTTGTCAATTCTTATTCATTCCAAGCATCCACTGATATTTTATTCATCATTAGATATGAAAAATAAATTATGAAAACAGCATGAAACATTTTTAAGCAAAAATGAGTAGGCAGTCAGTAAAAAAATTTTAGTCACCGATACCTTATAGCAGTAGGTTGTGTATATGTTGAAAAAAAGGATGCTATTAAAATATATAATGTACCGAATAGAATTTTTTTTGTAAAGAAGTAAAATAACAGTGTAAATTAAAAATTTTGTGCTTACCCATTTTAGCATATTAAAATCTTGCTGATAAAAGGCAATATAGCCCATAGCAATGAAATTGTTCACAAACTCAAACTGAAAAGTGAGGTTTAGAAAATACTTTAGTTACATGATTTATCATAAATTTGATACATTCTAAACTATACAATTCATAAAATTACAAAAACATTTTATACTAAATGCAATTCAAAATAAAACCTGGCTGCTTTTTAAATGGAGGAATACTGTTTGGCAAAGGTAGTTTTGCACTAAATTGAGTAAATAACTTAACAATTTGATTAAACAAAATATGCGTAGTAACACTCTTTCAATAAGTAAAAAGTACTAGTTTGTAAGTATATATTTTTTTGTAAAAAGTTAAAAGAAACTCAATCATATCATATTTCGTTCATAATTTGTTAGTGAATAACTGATTCAAGTGATGCATTCATGATTAATATGTTTTAGTTACTGCAATCATTACTTCATTGGAAATTTTTTTTCTAACGAAACCAACTTAAATATACTCGTATGTCACTTATTCGAAAAATCTCAGTTAATAGGAGACAAAAAGGTTCTAATTCTTTTAATGGAGATTATTAGAATTTACTATAAGGCAAAAATATTCACCATATTATATGCAAATTTTTCAGTTCACCAAAACCAACCTTAAGAAAAGTTTAAACTACACAATCTTTAAATACATTTTAATAAGATTTGTGAAGAGAAAACCTTCATCCATAAATTTAAGATTTCTGATAAAGCTGGAGTAAAATTTATAAATAAAGGTACATTCATAGAAATAGAAAATGTTTACTAAATTTTTATAAAAAAATGCAATTGTGATTACTCAATTTAATCCTAAAAGATTAATATTTATAAATATATGTGCTGTAATTTTAAGTCTATCATGAAACTATACTGGAAATTCAAAGCATTCAATTTATTTTCAATGTGGAACTGAAATGCTGTCTCAGAGTATTATGCACAGATTTGCATGATACTCTGCTTATGTTTAACTTATTATATATAATTTTAACTATGTATCTAGCATAAAATCAATAATCTCAAAAAGGAGAAAAATGTACTTTAAAATCAAAAACTTCTATTGCTTTATAGTATAAAGTTCTTTATTACCAAACATACTTAGTTGTAGTTGATATTTAAATGCCAAAAAAGAAACAAAAATCTTTAAAAATAATAAAATTTTATAAAAATTTCCAAATATTATTACGTTAAACTCTTTATATTTTATACTAAATAATGATGTCTATCATGGAATTAGCCTCAAAGATACAGTTGTAACAAAAGAAAAAAAAATTTTTTTTTGAGTAGTTTGACAAAGATTCACATTAAAGCTTGAATAAAAAAATTATCGTATAGTTATTTTCTATTGTACTACTAGTAGATCTGAAGAAAAAGTGCAACTGGTACATAGATCTTCAACATTTAAACCTTGAGAATACATGGCACATGTGAATCACCATTTCTAAAACAATTTCATCATTTTTTAAATCATTTAATTTTGATCATATTCTTTTAAATTTTGAAAATATGATCAACTTTAAAATCAAAAAGACATGTGTACTACAAAGTGGTTAGGAGTATGTTAAACTATTTATGACAGTTGGAGAGTGTTCTGAACATGGAAAACAAAAAACTTTTTGAAGTTACCAAAATAAGAATAGATATTGATTAAAATTGATATCTGTAACTAAACAATGCAATCTAGAAATATCACACTAAATGTTGAATTGCTCATAAGAAAAAAATTTAGTTTCAGAAGCAATAAAGAAAAACAATGGAAATAAAAATATGACCACCGAAGCGGACGTCTTCAGAGGGTACCAGCTTCAGAAGCCATAGAACAAAACCTTTTCTATTGAGAGAGCTAGACAAATATCAAAATTTGCTCCCTCAGTACCCCGAACGTTTTGCAAAAGTCCAGGAAAAATACAAGAAATACATAAAATGAAATGAGAAAAGAAATTTTGTTTGAAATTCCTCTTCTGATTTGATTTTATGTATTTTTCCTGGACTTTTGAAAAAACTTCAGGGTACTGAGGGAGCAAATTTTGACATTTGTCTGGCTCTCTGAATAGAAATTGTTTTGTTCTATGGCTTCCGGAACTCCCCTAAAGACGTCGGCTTCGGTGGCCATATTTTAATTTCCAATATTTTTTTTTCCATTGTTTTTCTTTTTTTTTATTGCTTCAATTATTCTTTCTTTTGAAAATTTCTGCTGCTTTGCATGTTTCTTTCAAAGAAAGTTCTGTTATTATAGAATTAAATATTTTGTATTCTTTTACCTATTTAATTTCAGAACACACTGATCATTGTAGCGGTTGCATAAAACTATATAAAGGATAAAACTAAGCATGCTGAAACTCTAACAAATAAAAGTAAAATTATCTGGAAGATATTGTGACTAAAGAAATGGTATCTCAATTTATCACAATATGACATTTTAGGTTCCTAAACAGAGTATTTCAAAACGTATGTAATGTTATGGGTCAAGGCACTATTTCAATGCTGAGAAGTTTAGCACTCTCTAGAAGTAGATAACAATCCTTGTAGATGAATTAAAATAAAAATTAACACCACTAAAATATAAATATCATGCTAATATAAAATAAAATGTTATTACGGAAATGAGTATTCTGTTAAATCCTATAAAACATCTTACACAATCATGGAGAAGATTATGGCTATATTATAAATGAAAATTATAATGAAAAATTATAAATGAATTATTGGAAATAGATAATTATAAATGAAAAATATTTTGCTTTAGAAAAAAAAATTGTTAATTGTTTAATTTATTCCAGTCTATAACATCAATTGTACTGATTTTTAAAATTTGTTATTAATAGCAAATAGTAAAAATATACTGAGTATAAATTTATTTTAAATATAATGTAATAAAATGTGGCTGAAATAAACTCACCAACAAAAGTTTTACAATTCTGTGATTATCAAATGAATCTTGAGTTTTGTGATTTTCTAAAACAACAAACACAATTTTTCGTCAATAACATGATATTCATATCTTCAATAACAACATTGCATAACATTTAAAAATAAAAACTATACATTGAACAATACATTTTTTATTTATATTATTAAATTAAAATTCAATTATAATTACTGATTTTTATTTGCAAGAATAAGTTCGCATTACTGTTTTTATTAAACTATTACTGTTTTTATTAAACTATTACTGTTTTTATAAAATTTATTACCTTTTTTTTATAATGTTACAGTTTTTATACAATTTATCAGACTTAAAATCTAAATTAAAAGTATTATTTATTAAAAAACTATAAATAAATAGTAAAATAGTAGCACAACTTTTAATTTTAACTACTCTCTTAACTAGAATTCATAACTCTGACTGTAGGTGGACAGTAATTAATTGCAAAAGAATGTATCAGATAGATAGTTACCCTTTTTTAATTAAAGAAAAGAAAATAGCATTCTATAAAAATGAAATTTCTTATTAACTTCAAACAATGTCACATGATTGGCAAAATAATTCAATTAATTCCCTTAATTCAATTTTGGAAGGGAAAATAATCAAGGTTGGCAAGTTTCTGCCAAAGTGGTTAAAACCACTGGTAGAAACCCTTTTCTGCCACATTTGTGGCAGAAATTCAGAAAATGACATAAAAGTAAGAACTGAGATTGACATACAATGGATAATTCATAGAATAAACAATTACATGTTAAACAAAGTATAATTCATTTACAAAATTATCACCATTCAAAATCAAATATTTCATTGTTTGCACTCTGCAGTAATCTATAACAAAAGACAAGTTTTGATGCAGTTTCTAAACCTAAACAATTTCTCAATTTGCCTATGCACGAACAAGAAATTTGAGAAGATTCTCTCAAGTCCAGCAGAATTAGCAGGCATTGCCATCAAGGAACAAGCAAGATTTGTGAAATTTTCATCTATTGCATATTTTTTAAAACTGGACCAACCACTATGTAGCAGCTGGGGTAGTTGTCAAAACTTGACAGGAAAAATAAGCTTCAGGAAATGGGTCCAATTTGTTTTATATAAATTTTCGATATACTGCACTTTTTATAATTAATATAAACAAAATAATATATATTTATACAATGAATTAAAAAGTTTGTTACATTTATATGGAGTTACATTTTTCAGTTTACTTAAACAGAAAGTCATTAAGCAATTACTAGAACTAATATGGATGTATCTTTAGTTTCTGCCAGTTTTGGCCGGTTTTTACCGGTTATAACCAGTTTCTGCCACTGGCATGGCAAAAAGCCAACCCTGAAAAAAATTGACTTAAAACAATAAGAACTAGAACCCTTGAATTGAATAAGAAACCCTCGAATTGTCAAGCTGGTGCAGTTATAATGCTATATAAAATTGTTTTTTATATTTTAAATCACAATATTTCTAACAGAAAATTATAAAATTTATGTCAATGCTAAATGTTGATTAAAAATATGAAGATAAATAGAAATTAATGATTTCAAGGATAAAAAAAAAGTTTAATTAATGAGAATATCAACTCAAGTATTCTAGAATAAACATAAATTGTAAGTAATATTTTTAATGTAATCTTTTATGACTTACAAATATATAAGCATGAAAATTAAAATTTATTTTTTCATACTTCAATGGGCGCAAACAGTTTAGATTACTCAAAAAAATGTGTTTGCAGTTTCATTTTTGAGAGAAGTAACTGCAAGAGAATTTAGTCTCTCTTGTGTCGTTGTAGAGTTTAAAAAGGATTTAATAGCTTTTTATTCGCTTAAAGAACATTCACTAGTAGCTACAGATATAGGGGACAGTTAGCAAAATTCTTAAACTTATTCACAAGTTTGGAAAAATATCTTTTAAGCTGTTCTTATAAATGAACATTATGAGATCAATTAGAGATATTATTATCTGATTTTTTTTTTTACTTATAATTTTACCTGTTTAAATAATATTTTAAAGGTATTTTCTATTCAATATACACCTTTCTGTAAAAAATTATTTTGAAAAAGGAAAAATTGTTGTTGTTGACTTCCGTAACACAATACTTAGTTAAATAGGTTACTATAGCTTTTTATTATCTAAAAGATCATTCATCAGTTGCTACGGATATACGGGGACTGTCAGTCGACTGCCCAAACACAATTAGGTTTATAAACATTTTCATGCATTTAAGAGATTCAACCATTCACTAAAATGCCATTGAATAACACACCAATCAACAAATTGACTGCTATTTATGGCTGCTTCGTTGTTAATACACCTTTCACTAATCCACTTGTTTGTGAAACGCACGCTATTTTTAAAACAAACTAAAAATTGCCTCATATAAAATACAATTACTAAAGAATGAACGATTGCCGTAGTAATAGGAAAATATTAAACAATTATTGCTATCAAGTAATTTTTTTAGAAGATTAGATATTCTCTATCCAGAATAATATATGTTTATGAAACTACTTAAAAATAAATAAAAATCTATGTGTAACATAAATTATAACCATAATATGTGCCTAAATAAATTAGAGGAATTAAGAAGTTATTGATTCCGTTATTAGCAAATATTTGTAGAAAATAAGAAGTCTTACTTTTGTTTTCTAGAAAATCTCTTATTAAATATTTAAAATATACAGTGAAACCTCCCGGAAAGACCATCTCTATTTACAACAACTTTTAGGAGGCACAGAATTTTTTCCATAGACATAGTATTGAAGAAAACCTTTAAAGGAGACCATCAAAACCACTTCCAGCAACCGGGAAAACCTCTGCACCAAATGCAGAAAAGGTCAAATAAGGAAACGTATAAAAATATCAGAACAAGAAATATTAACAAAACAAACAAATAGATTAAATGTATTTAAAATATTTGAGTGAGGTTCTTATTAAGAGAGTTCCTTTTGATGATCTGTGAAAAGAGATTGGCAATTTCATGCTACAGTCAGAGTGCACTAAAGACAATGCTATCAATGATTTATTTTTTCAATTGAAAGTTAAATTTGAAAAAAAAAAAAGTTTTTTTAGGAAAAACTAAGCATCTCAAACATACTTCTTCTCATCTTATAAAGCTAACTAATTTTTATGATATAAAATTAAATGCAAACTTAAACTAAAAACAAAATTTCTTATTTATTTAAAATAGTTCTATCATTCATAATAAGTAAATTTGTTTTTACACATGATCATATCAGTAGAGGTCATTTTTATTGAAGCTAAATTTTATTCATCGATCCAGTTTTCTTAAAACCTACACAAGTGGCATTTCTTCACCAAGAAAATTACACTAACTTAAATTAAAATCGTTTGCGTATCATGTAAACCCTAAAAAATGACTAACCTCCATTAACAGCCATTTTATTATGGAACAGACAGAGGTCACTCCTAAGAGATTTCACTGTATATCAAAGAACAAAATATGTAAAATATTTTAAGAATGAATCGATGTTTCTTGTTATTAATATAAAGTTTACCAAAATCTTGTTAATTTAATTATCTTAGAAACTAATCTTTCCATCTTGTTCTAAAAGGCCCCCTTAAAAAAATCTGCTGAATGTTGCATGAAAATCTTAAATTAAAATAACATTTTGGGACAAAATATGAATATTTTCTACATAAAATATTAAGATTTATATCAATAAATTCACATTATAATGAGAATCGACACACAGATTCCCATGTACTGTGTACTAAAAAGATTTTTTGAAAAGTTTCCGATTTAATTATCGCAATTTAATGAACTGGAACTCAACATCAATGAATACAAAGGGTGACTTCAAATATGCTAATTAATAAATGTATAAGTTTTTAATTATTTTAAGTAACAAAATCAAACACAAAATTACATTGTCTCTGAATAAACACCTTTATTTTGATGAATTATGATGATTATAATTTTTCGACTCCCAAATTTTAGGGGCAATCTGAGAAATATGGTTTTAATTTAGTCAGGAGAACGGTCTAAAGCTTGGATTCCTTAATGCTATTTTCAATTTTTGCGTATTTTTCCATAGTTTGAGAATTCGTATTTTGCCATAGTTGAGAAGCAAATTAAACAATTTTGCACACAATTATAAAACTCGTTAATCCAAAAATAATTCCACACAAAAAAAATTTTTAATACTTATTTATTAATTTTATTTAATAACAGTCAAAATAATTTTGACTTGTGAGGTATACTTATTTTTACGTTATTTTAAAAATGCAGTTTTATAAAGCAAAATACAAAATTTGCACAAAATATGAAGTTGGTAAAATAGTTCCTTTGAAATCGAATTTTAAATATGGAACTTTTTTAAAAATCTAATTTCTGACTAAGTTTAGCCAGGAATTTTTGTTAAAATAAATGGAGAAGGCCAAACATTGTAAAGTTATGAATGATACATAGCATTAAAAAAAAAATCATTCATATATTTTTTTTTTAATCTTTGATTAAAAAGTAAATAAAACTTAGACAAAAAAAATTTCTGATTGCGTACTTAAATTCTTAAGAGAAGTTTAAATAAAAAAATTTGCAAATTTTCATGAAACATGATATAACACACTAAATTGAAAAGCATGAATCTAGGACTAAATCCATATGGTCATTCTCTAAGAGCCATCTTTCCTCTTTTTTTGTCATGCATTAATTTTTTGAGAATATTGGCATGATGCTTAAATAAAACTATTGTATAGATAACTTTCAATCATTGACAAGTTAATCTAAGAATATATAATTAAAAAATAAAAACCTATAAATAAATTTTTCAAGCAAACAATATTTTAAAAAAGAAGAAAATCAAAAATTTAGGGAACATTAAATATGGGTCCTAGTGCTCCAGGCAATCGGCTTCTAAATATGAATAAACTTTCTGAACTAGAAATAAACTTTCTTTTGAATATACATCTTTTAACTTATTTTATTTTAAAAAGTCAATTTTAACTTTAAAAAATTATAAATTGTGAAAAAAATCAGATTTTAATTGCTATAGGTCAAAATTCTTGTTCTAAGTTTGTGTCTCATTCTCAAATAAAATTATATTATTTCACACAAATACTTTACTTTTAACTGTTTTAAATTTCTTCTAAATAGAGTGGAAATCATTAAATAGCAGGGGGAAAAAAAAGTTACATGAAATTAAAGATTGCTACAATTGTGAACTCCATTGTTTTAAAACTAACAATGCAATTTATTCAACAATAATTTTTTTACACACTCATTTTCTGGTTAAAACAAAATGAAAAGAAAAAGATAGGGAAGAATATTATAAGTGAGATAAATAATAAGTAGTCACAAGACTATTTAAAAAATATTTACCCCATTCTGTAAGTACAGTAGCAACATATGCATACACAATATTCATTGCAATAACAAGAATAGCATATATAATGCCAGGTAATTGAGTAATTAGCCATCCTAAATAGCTTCCATCATCATATAATTCCATAGCCGTCTCTTCAATTTGAAAATATATGAACATAACTAGGACAGCAAATACCAAGCAAAGACAAACTAGAGGCAAAGATACGCAGTATACCTAGTTTTGTAGAAATGCAAAATTATTGAATGAACTTAATAAATACCTCATATCATACACTCATCAAATTAAACAAATATACATGTCATTGAAGAAAAAATTTAAACCTGTCAAATAATGAAAGTAAAAAAGTATAGAGATAATTAGATTATTTATAATTTTTAAATACAAATTATAACAAATAGCTTTATAAAAAGTGCAAGAACAATTTTTTTGCTTGAGGTACAGAAATGATTTAATATTTATGCTGAAATAAAAGTAAAGGTATAAAAGATAAAATCCTTTAATTCTGATATCTACTTTTTTTTATTATTCGATATTTTTTTAGTTTCATACCAATAAATTAATAAATATTTGCAATTAAAATTAGCAATCAAGAAGACATAAATTGTTTAGTTAAACTTAAATACACAGCAGCTTCTTTAAAAAAATGATTTTCACACAAAATTAATAGAGAAGTCCCAATAACAATTAAAAAATAACATATAATAAGAATAAAAATAAATCATTTAAGAACTCATTAGAAAATTAATTTAAAATAAAAAGTTAATCTATCTAGTAACCAAGTTTTTTTTTCCAATAAATAAATAAAAAAATTAATATAAAACTAATTTTTTCTTAATATATTACATTGTATGAAAACAAATTGGGATTTTCATACATAGAATAGTATTCTTTTATTCCTAGTTTAAATATTCATTTAGCTTCTGAGTATCAAAAAAGTAGCATGGAATTTTGTTTTATATATAATATATATGTTTTATTTTACTGTATATATGTATATATAT